GCCTATTTCCTCCCTACTCTCCCTCCCTCACCATCTCTGTCAGTACATTCCTCTGCTCATGTCTCCCGGAGGGTAAGAGAAAAGAAAGGTTTTAATTAGGTGAACACGTCTTAGCTCCAGGGGAAAGAGAAATGGTGCGTTGACACACGGCCGCTACTTAGGAACCCTGACCCAGCCGAGGACTCTGGTGTTCAGGGCGGAGAGCTTCATCTCACCCATTCCCTGGAGGCCCTGGCACTGGGGCCTCGGCATGGTTCCCAGATCTCTCTGTCTTGTTTGTGTCAGGGTTACAGTATAGATTCCTATCAGCAGCAGTAATGGCTGTCTAATAGGGCACTCCAGTCCTGCCTGTGGACGGTAATGAGGATGGCTGCCAGCACAGCACAGCCGCCCTTGCTTTCCACTGCATGCGTGTGTGCCTGCCTGTCTTGGACACTTTCATCATGAAGGGAGTGATCCTCCTCATGCACAACACACCCACACCCCCACCTTCCACCAACACCCCTCTTTTTTTTTGCTTTCACTTCAAATCTTACACAAATACAGTCCTAGACTAATTCCGTCAGTCACCCTGAGACTGTATTACATAAGCAAAGTAAAAGACTCACTGGGAGTTTTGGCCTTAAGGTAAGTCTGCTTGCTCTGCCATAGATAGCCTATAGTGATTGTCAAAGGGGGAACAATTACATTCTAACCTGCAGCACTTTAGAAGAGTAGAATTTTCCCTTTCATCTTTTCCAATTTTTTTGTCTTGTTCTGTCTCTATCAGTCTTCATTAGCATCACAGTACAGCTGTATTTATCGTTCTTGGAGAGAGTCGGTGGCCTGCCTAGGGGTTGTTTTGATGAAGTTAAAACTCACACACACACACACACACACACACACACACACACACACACACAAAGACCATGTTAGGTTCTGCTCATGACACAACTCTATACATACACAAAGACCCTAAGGGTATTGGATCTAATGAGGACACTGGTCTGGAGCAGGGTTACCGTAACAAGCTTATCACTGTGTGCACGTTTGGCTACACACAGCTTCCACACTGTCCGTATCAAGTGAAAAGGCCCTTTGAAGCAGTAAAGGTACCATTAGCTGGCCTGCAATCTGCTAGTGAGGAAAAGATGGCAAAAGGCAAAAGAAGGATGAGGTGAGCAAGATCAAGAGATGTATAAGCAGCACTTTCATCTCAGGATTTTCTGATATCTTCAACATTCTGTTCACGTCAAAGGCTATTGGCAGAGGCCTTTATGCACACACCAACTTGCTGGTTCAATTATGAAACCCAAACATCAAAGCTGTGGGTTTTTCTTTCCTCGAATGCTGACTCAAAGCAATCTCCTGTTCCTGATTGGAAAGATACTGGCTCCCGATTTGCATGGAAAATATGTATATCATTCTTTTCAGCCAGTTCCCACTTTTATGACTTTAAGTATTTCTCTAAACACAGACAAACATGAGAAAGCAAACTAACCAACAATATCCATTTCTGGTGGATGATTTACAATTCCACCACCTACTGACATCTAATGCTAAGGCCCTTTAGTCATTTTAAACTATGTAATCCATGCCCACAGCTTCATCATTCTTTAATTGGAGCGGTTAATTACTTCTTTAATTTCTTCTCCTGGACCTAAAACTGTCACTGTGGGAGTCAGAGATCAAGGATGGCTTATGTCACCCCACTTAAAAGACACAGAGCTGGACAGAGAAATGCAACCCCATTGACCTGGCAGCTGGAGGCTGAACAACATCATCAGCCTTAAGGGTCACCTCATTCTGGCAACAAGCAGAATGTATGCATTAAGTAAAACCAATTATCATTTCCTCCACAGTCTGCTGAGTACTTAACAGTCATTAGTCTGAAGATGAACTTAAACATCCCCCTGGAATGTGATCATGTTATTGTGGGTATTATGTAGTGATGCAAAATGAAATGTGTGTATTTGGTTTATACTGTAAATCCTGACCTTTAAGTGATACAGAGAAGAAACTTTGAGGCCAAACACTAAAGCTGGTAGGGTGATTTTTTTTCAAAATAAAAGAACTTTCATCACAAAGCTCCCCTCTTTACTCTTAGTTTTCACCACTTCGCAAATGGAGTGTGTCTAATTGGCAAGGGGGAAGGGGGTCCACAACCTTCCCAGTAAATAAAAATGGAAATTATATATATACACAGTATATATGTGTGTGTGTGTGTATATATAAATAGATATCTAGATATAGATATAAATATACAGATAGAGAGAGAGAGAGCAAGGGAGAGAGTTCTACCTACCCCTATTTGGGGGCAGTATATTTTTGTACCTCCCATTTAACTGTTGTTTTTTGATCAAGTTGTAATGCCTCTCTAACTGAGAAACAGAAGCAGAGTTTCAGTGTTTGCTCATTAAATCAACCACCTGGAATGCCTGCTCATCATGATTGAGTCATTCCCTCTAACTTAATGATTAAAATGCAGTGCACAAATTCTGGCCAGAAATGTCAAAGTGCTTGCTGTGTTCCCACTGCATAACCATTGTGTCATAGCTGACCTTTTCCCTCCATCACTGTCACCACCATTCATGTCTCACTATCAAGCAGGCATTGTACACCTGGAGGACCAACTGACTGAACAGCAAGATGGCATGTTGACAAAACGAACGGAAACAACCTTTTGAATGAAGATCAAACTGCCATTTTATGTTGTCAGCACTGATTTATCAAAGCCCTGATAGTGAAAACCGACTAGTGCAAGGCATCCTACTGTATTTCTTGAAATTGCTGATGCTAATCTGAGATGCAAATAAAACCTATAAGAAAACACATTGTTTATGATGTATGTACTATTTACAGAGCAGCTATAAATAGCAGTTAAGTTTTTTTTTCGTTTGATTCTTTTAAGGATAAGGCCAGTCATTTTCTATATCAATAGCATTTTCAGCAATCTCTATACAGAGACTAAAACCAACAATAAACTGCCTCTACTCATGGTTAATGCTTGTCAGATGTCAGTCCTGGATTAGCTTGTTCATGTTTTTTGTGGCAAAACCCCAGACCTGGATCTGCCGCCCTAAAGTCTCAGAGAGGCCATAATTACCTGAAGTTAGCACGAGTCAGAGTCAACTGCACAAGATCTCAGCTTTGTTTAAACTCCACTAGCTCCTTGCACTCACGTCTGGTGTTCGCTAGTGGAGAAATATGCCACCCAATGCAGAGGTGTGTTTCACTGATGTGTTTTTAATTGTTTTTGAAGAACAACAGAGGTTTGTGGCACAAACAAACAAGCTAATCCAGGCCGGACACACTGACGCGCATTAACCATGAGTACAATCAGTTTATTGTTGGTTTTAGTCTCTGTATGGAGATTTCTGAAAATACTATTGATATAGAAATTGGCCAGCCTTATCCTTTAATTACATTAAGATTTTTAGAATGTTTTCTTTTCTAGTTTCTTTCTCTCTTTGTATGCATATCAAGTCTTGCATCTGCAACTGAAAAAACAAGCAAACAAACAAACAAAAAACTCAGTTTCAGCATGTCAGTGAATTAAATGGAGCACAAAGTAGAAAACACAACTGGATATCTGCTCTGTGTGCTGCATGCATCAACTTTGATTTCATTTGATCATAGAAGCAGTCGATACCCCATCACAATGTTCCCCTATTAATCTCGGATTTAAATCAATTCAGTCTGTATTCCCCTTCAAACTAAGGTAACAAGATTCTCCACACAATTGTAGGCACACACTAACTGCACAATTACCCATTCAGCACCAGGCACTCACTCACAGATATAAACGAGCTGTCAGAAAGCCACCAGAAAACTAACTGGATTGAGAAAAAAAAAAGAACAAGCATTTTGTCGTTTGGTCAATACCAACACCATGGATTGGGACTTTTACATAAAATCTACGTAGACCTTGACAATAGTCAATTGATGCAGCCTTTGGGGGTCAATATGGTCTTTGTTGTTTTGTATTCCCTCTTGGTTCAGTTTTGAGTAAATATATTTTCAAGTGCAGGCCTTAAAAAGAATCTAATGGGAAGAGGCCACACAAGGTTGCTTGATTGAAATTGGTAGAAAGCAGATGTGATCATTACAGGCTTAACCCAGGAATTATGTACACAAACACACACACATACTCAGAATTCTGCAGGACAAAATCAAGTACCCCTCAAAGTCAAAGCACGTTGTACCACAAAAGAATCTAAGCCTTGGTAAAGTAAAGAGAATAACAGTTTGACCTGATGCCACCTCTGAAAGACAGAGAAAGGGGTGGAAGAGGGAGGCATTTAATGTCTAGTGTTAACAATTGTATATAACCACTTCAGTATATGAAACAAGCAGATATTAAGCATGACCTTGCTGTTAATTAAATTTGTGTAAGCACTAGTTATTCAGCCCCATTCCATTTTTTTCTTATGGTGGGAGTCCTAATGGTTTCCACTGTAAAGATCCTTCAGGGCTTGATCTCAAACTAATGCACTTTACTGCTGTCTCTATTATGTACTGTACACCATGCAGCACAAAATTTTGACTCACAAAATGCATCTTTTATTTAGAGTTTTGAATCTTGTATGGATTAGTGCAAGATTCAAAGACCCCCCACAGAGTTATAACAAGTTGATCAGGTGTTCAGTGACTGATGCAGCTTTCTGTGATTTGATTCATTTGACATCAATCCCCGACAGATGCCAGCGACAATGGAGCACTTTTGGAGGGTCAAAACAACTTCAGTCCTGTGGAGACGTTTCGGTGCCTTTGCAATTTATCAAAGACTCTCAAACAAAGACTGTTGTTCATAAGTCATTATCAACTAGTGAGAGTTAAGTGCGATGTCAGTGACGGAGGCGTTGCAAGTCTAAAGCTTATTCACTACTGCAAATGCAAGCCATGTATTAGTCACCTGGATTTACCATGGCTATGCAACTAATATACACAGTTTACTGTATATCAACTGTATATGCAGTGAATAGTATATACAAAACTAATCTACACATGCTCACACTCACAAAAATAGTAGCAGGTGCTCTCTGTTGGATGTGGATGAAGACAGATGAGCGGTGATCATTCTCATTAGAGCAGTGATGAGCTCCCGTGAAGACATACACCTGGACCAGGGCACACCTGGGGAGACAAAAAGAAAGGACGTGTGTGTGTGGGTGTGTGTTTGCTTAGGTGAGAAAAAGAAAAACAAAAAAAAGAAGATATTATACTGGCAAACAGAAATGCAAGAATGAGGGAGAGAAAGGATTACTTGGATCCACCCGGCACACAGGCAGGTACAGTAGGTAAAATGTCTATCAAATGACATTTATAGAAAAAAAACACAGTACAGCAGACTAGTGCGATTCATGTTTCGTTCTATTACAAGATACAGTATACTGTAGATTTCTTATGAGTATCACTATACACTTTCATCCTACAACCTTCAGACTGTCTCTCCACAGGCACACACACTTGCTTCACCTCTAATGAACCTGTCTCTGAATGACTCTGGCTGCACAAATGCCAGACCCTATTTAATGTAACAGTATAATAGCCACAGTGTGCATGGATATGATGAGTGAGAAAAATGTATACCATCTGAGGTCATCCTGAGCTTTGCACTGAAACCTAACATCGTGGCTCAACCTTGTGTTGTAGCATTTGAGATCAGTCTTGGTCTCCAGCCCAAGGCTTTGGTCATGTCTTGGAATCTTGTCTTGGTGTCGGACAAAACGAACTTGGGATTTTATTTTGAGACCAGTCAAGACCACAACTGTAGGGGAAGTGCCTGTACATTGTGTTTTATTTATTAACATCATTCCTAAGGTCTCCCCCCCCCTTATCAACACTTAGACACAGTGATTGCCTTAAGCCAAATGAACATTAAAAAGGCAACACATCAGAATGAAGGTAAAAACGATGAGAATTCTATGCTAAAAAAACAAACAAACAAAACTGGCTTGATCTCAAACAGAAATGTAAGTTGGCAACAGGAATGACCTGCTAAGTGTTTGGACAAATGTTTGTGCAATTGATCATCAAGCTAATCAAACAACTGACTGGAAGTTCCTCTCTGTACTGTCGGGAAGGTAGTTATACTCAGTATGGATTAATACTAACAGCAGTTAGAGGGAAGATGAAACAACTGTGGTCTATTTCGCAGCTAAAGAATTTGCTAACAAAAATACTAATGTACTTTGTCATTCTGGGAAGTCAGACTACAGTAAAGCCTCAACAATAGATTCTAAGTTCCCAGATCAAAAAGTCATAGCGAAACATTATTAAAACAGAAACGGCACCTCTTTTTAAAACCTTAAGGTTAAAAAAAAAAAAAAAAAAGCTACAGCCCAATTTTCATTAAAATGAGCCATCCTCCAAGCTTTGCCCACATATACAAACACACACTGGACAAGTAACATTGGTCTCTGTGCAGCCGACTGTGAGACCAGTGTGCAGGGACTACAAAAAGCAACACCGAAAAGAGATATGCGACTACAAAAATATTAAATAACCTAAATAACTATTTTAGTATAACAAACAGGAGGCCCCTGGTGGCTGAACTGAACTGCTTGTAGGCCTACAAATTTTTTGGGGGGGGAATGTTTATGGGGAAAAATATTTAATAAACCTCGTTCTTACCATGGAGAGTCATCATAATTACTTCACACATAAAGGGTCTCTTGATGGTTATACTACAACATGTTAAGGTTTAGTCCCCCTCACCTGGAGGGTGAGGGAGAACTGGGGTTGGACTCAAGATGGCTGACCCAGGTGCTAGTACAAAAAAGGAGGTTTAATGGAATGAAAACAACAAAATGAAAACATAACAGGGTCCATAATACATACAACCAGGGAAGGGCAGTGATGACTAAGGAGACCAGGACAGTAAACACACAAACTACCGACAGGAACTAGGATAGCAGGAGGATGAGAACGGACAGGTGAACAAAAAGAACCAACGTAAACAATGTAATCCACAGCACAGGGACTGTCAGCGTGGAAGACAAAAGGACATGTTGCTAACCGCATAATAGCGTGATAAGGTCAAGCCAAAACGCACAGATACTATCAGCGTAGCATCTTACACACGTCTAAAAATGCGGGTCAAACATCACATTTATCTTACTTTGGGTAAGTATTGTCCATTACATATCGCAATGCGGCGGCGGGGCGTCTGCCAGAGGTATAAATAAGGAAGCCAACAAATCACCGGAATACGCCTCAGGTGTGCGCACCGACCTACGAGTCACTAATTACCCGATGCGACACAGCTGAGGCGTTGATCCCGCAAAAAGGGAGAGCAGGAGAGGAAAAAAAGAAAGAGAGGCAAGCGGACCTGACACAAAACTTGATTTAAAAAAAAAAAAAGGAATAATATTCAGTAACGTCATTCCTATATAGTGTCACTGAAATGCAGGCTATCCAGTACTATCAGTTTAACTGCACTTGTCTGGTCTTGGGCTCGACTTGGTCTGGGTGTAGGTGGCCTTAATTACAACACTAGCTCAACCAAAACATCAAATATGCATTATCATTGACAGCAACACCGCAGAATCCAATTATACGGTGTGCTGTTCAGATGTGTGTCTGAACTTACATGAATCGCATGATTTCTTTCTCACTCTGTTGGAAGTAACATCCAAAATGCATACTTTTATAGCAGCTGTATCAGTGGGTGTTAACATCCTACTTCCCCTCAAAAGCTACATCATGTGTGCATGACATTAATAAAAGTGGGTGGGAGAGGGTCAGATAGGGAATGACCGTTTGTTGATTGACGAATGCTGTCATCCAATTCCATTAGCTTTGTTCCTACACACCTTAGCGGTTGCTAATTTAATCTCGGCTCTGATAGAATGTAATTTGGTTAAAAAGGGCCCCCTATTAATATTTCCAGTATCATTTTCAGCCACTGATGGGCAGAGGAACTTTCATTATAGAGAGAAATTACAGAGGAAAGATGGCACATAAATGGGGAGATAGTGGATGGGATGGGACAAAGATGTATTGAAGCTTGGATACAATAATTGATATGGTTAGCTTCAATCAGTTGCTTTAATACAGAAGCAACACACACATTACGTGTGCAAAAAAGCATATACAGTGCATTGGCACACTCACACAGAGTGATTCCTTTATATTAAGACAATCTATACACTGAGGTAATGTCTGTAAACAAACATAACAACAGAGCCTAATTCAAAAGGTTCAGGGAGGAAGAGAGAAAAATATGAACTTCTCACTCTAAGAAGATTGTCCTCCCCTTCCTTCCTTCCTTCCTTCCTTCCTTCAAAAGGCCCAAGCTATTAGATGACTTTCATGTCTTTGTGCTTCATCTCCTCCTCCTCTCTTTGTCTCTCTGTCTGAGCAGCTTAGTGGAGACAGAAAGGCGGAAACAGGCGTTTAATGTCTGACATGTCACACACCTACACATTACATATATATTGTACAAAACAAACCACTATTGTGGATCATGCTGTAGCAGAAAGTCTATCATTGCACTCCTGTGTGTCACTGTGTCTGTTTGCATATAGCATGGTATTCAAATGAAACAGCAGAGAAGGGAGTAATATTTGCCAAGCACAGCTGCACTTGTGGTGCCCCTTGCTAGTCTTTGTATTAATTCTTCAACACTCTTTTCTTCCTCTCCAATACTGACTTTGCCCACAGGAGAGAAAAATGAATTTTTAGCAGGTAATCACTAATTTCTGGCAGAATAAATTCAGCAAGTGGTCCTCTCAAGTCTGGTACATGGTTTTAGAATTCTTTCTGCTTTAATTTCCTGCTGTAGTACTTTTATTCAGTCATGCGGCCCACATCTGTGCACCCTGATTCCTTCCTAACCTCAGGCTATATTCCAAAACCTCCCATCTGCTCAGCTCCCTGTCCCACCTTCTTGTCTGCTCCCTACTCTTACCTCCATGCACTAACCACACCTCTACTCCCTACTCATCTCCTTTATTTCTTGGTCCCTTCCTCTGTTTCGCTTGCTTCTTGTCTGCCCCAGGCCACCCCTCTTCCCCAGTCTCATTCAGCCTTTTGGGATAAGCAGAATACAGGGGATCAGTTCTGCTCACTGACCTTTGGAGGTGGCCTTCAATCTAAAGGTATGGCAGGGGACGCAGAGCTTAGAGAGATTTACTGGGATTGCCAAAAGGAGAAGGAACAAATTCCTCCCTGTGCCAATTCTCTGCAGGCAAAAAGAGAGGAGAAGAGAAGATGTCTTCTCTGAAATAGAGAAACACTGAACACTGGGGCAGATGAGAATAGATAAGAGGAAAAGAACGGTGAGAAGTGGAGAGGAGAGATGCCTACTGGTCACAGTGGGGCAGTGGTCATTTGTAGCACAATTGGAGGCTCTGACCACTGAGAGGAGGAGGTCAGATGAATAGATAGAGATACATTTGGAGAAAGAGCATATCATGAAAGTAATGAAAAAGAAAGAAATATCCTTTGAAAGACACGGTGTAAACATCTGAGACAAACAGGATCTTTGCATCTGTATGATCTTAGCTATAATGAGGCCTGTCAACTACCATAGATCTTTGTTCAGTGAGAATGACAACAGACATGCTTACATTGGGACAGTTGAAGGTTAAAGCTGAGGAAATCATACTGTGTGTGCGTGGGTGTGTGTACAAAACTGTCCCACAAGGGGTCTCCATGCAGGTGGCTTTTAATTTTGGGCCAATTTGCATATATCCAATCAGGTAGAGTAATTGGGAGTGTGTGAGATAGTGTTGGGAGACTGCCCACACACACACACACACACACACACACACACACACACACACACACACACACACACACAAGCACGCAGAGGGCGTTGGTCTGTCCTGGGATGCAACAGAAATGTGTAGCAGACAAGCTGATGGCACTGATAATTGTGACACTGACTGATGGCTCTAATCAGCAAAAGTATCTTCCTAATCAATTGACCTTCCCCCACCTCCTCCTGTCTCCATCTCCCAGGATTCAAAAACAACCCCTTGTCCCCACATGAAAGATGTCCACATTGAAGATGTGCATGAATAGCCCAAATTACAATTATTGACCTAGACAGGCAGTGGTAGACAAAGCACAGTGATAAGAACCACACAGAGGGAGATGAATTTTTGACATAAGGATAGATGAAGTGATGCCTGCAGGCTGATTTCAAGTGGGCTGTGTGTGGCAGTGCACAGCTGCAGTCTTTGTAGATACTTATTTTATGGTGAAAAGTTAATATCTAGTCATAATATTAATATGTTGCAAAACTAATTAACAGCATCATTGCACTTTTGCTTTTGTGCAAAAAACAAATGGCTGATTTGTATTTAAAGCTTCTCTTAAATGTACAACATCTATGTCCGTGACTAAAATGAATAAATTAATGTACCTGTAGGAACAAAGAAAATTCTCCTTTTAAAAAATAAATAAATAAATAAACCATTAAACTCTTGTTGGAACAATTACTAGTCACAAAGTTGAATTTCTTATTTCTTATGGAAATTCATCCTGGAAGTCAGTTGCAAACTCAACACAATAGGGATTGCTGTAACTAAAATCACAGGCTCAAAACATTGTCTCCATTTTCCTTTAGTTAGTCCCAAACTATGTAGTTTGTTCCAGGAAATGTTCAAGAAATTATTACTAAATAGTTGCTCTGTAAAAAGAAACATTACTGAATTATCTCTTAGATTAGATTTATTGAAACTTTGATAATTACTACAGAAAGAATGAACACAATATAAAGCAATGGTTCCCAGACTTTCTAAACCATGGCAACATTTAATTTTTTCTCCCATGTTCACCCACACAATAATCATACACAGTTCAGTTCTGAAAATGACATTATGGATGTAAGATTGTATTTTAATGAACTAAGAATAAAGTCTAACAACATTATTAAAATATGTTTAAAGTAGTGTGACTAAACATCAATTTTCAGTGAAAGAAAGCTTCATAAAAACATGGTAGAAGTTGTTTTGCTACAGAGATTTGCAGTATAAAATTTAGTACAACAAGTATGATGAATGACTATATTTCTTTATTTTCTGTTTGAAAATATATTTTAGTATTTTATCATACACATGCACACAGATTCAGCATGTAATTAATTTGTTTTGCTTTTAAGTTTTTTTTAGAGATGAGACAGTCTGGCATATTCAGAAGTGTTATTACTGTGGTGCGTTTATTGTTTATTGTTTGTTCTTTCCATTTTGATATCATTGAAAACATGAACATGTATTTCATTTGACCTGAAAACACTCCACTGTGTCACTGCGCCCAAGTTGCAACCTACAGATATAAAGAATGTTACAAGTAACTTTATTCAGAAAAACATACTGAGGGAAATGTAAGGATATTACAAAGACAAATATTCAGCATATTTGAGGTCTTGCTGTATATCCTTGCATTATACTGAAATGTTATTGTTCTGCCATTGTAATGTGTATCAGGACTATACAATTATCTTATCTGGTTTGTCATCCTTATCTCCACCAGTGTCAAAATACACTTCTATAAATAGTTTACTTGATGACAAGGGGCAGAGTTTTTAATATGGATGGTAGGGACATGTCCTAGTATTTTGGCGAGGACAGAAATGTCCCTACCAATATCTGAGCAAACCCTTGCAAATTATCTTTGGAGTGAAGTCATATTAGATGATTCTGATGTGCCCTCCCTGAGGCTACATCGAAAAGATGACATGCTACTGTAGCATTTGACTGAGTGAAAGGGAGGAGGTGATAGCTGTCGGTCAATGCGCTGACAATGGTCATTCCATACCTCAAGCATAGGTGAAAATTTAGTCTTTCACAGGACTTATTCCCTTTCCTTTATTTTTTGCATTCCACATCATTTTGTCCTTGCCATGTCTCGTCCTTTGTAGATAACCTTATTCCAACAAAAAAAGATAGATAAGGAGTTAGCTGTTTTTTTTTGCCACCCAATAGACCAGCTAGTTAACTAACTAGCCAGTAGCCACATTAATTTAAAATGAAAACCTACCTAGCAGCACTGGTTTTTATACTGTTGAAAATGTCAACTCATGCTATTTAACCACGTTAGCTAATGTCAACTAGCAAGCTAACCCTGTCTTCTGTTATGTACAGGCTAGCAGTCACATTGTTAGCAGGAGTAAAAACAAAATAGGTGGATAGGCCTAGATCAAATTATGAGTTGAACTTCAGGCTAAAAACCCCATGAAGATATCACTATTAATGAATTATTTTGTAATTGTTTTGCTCTAATTATGACTTATAGTTTGGAATTAGGGAGGCATCAACTTTAAAGTTATTCTCAGAATGTTCAACCTTTGCTCATGAGTTTATTTTGAAAGAAATCTTACATCAGAACAAGCTGGCTTCATAAGATCCTGTTCACTCTTCTTTGCCATCAGAAATAAATGAGAGCCACATGACAAAATGTGGAAAGCTTTAGTCTTAGCATGGTGGGCAAAAAAGCACTCTAACTAATTGCAGTGCAAACCTTTATGATGTATTCTTGTCACATAATAACAAGACAGTCAAGACACTCCTTCAAACACCATGGTGAAAGGCAGTTAGATTGTACTAGATTATTCATCATAAAGATGCCTTTGCTAAAAAAACAAACAAAAAAACTATTTGTTTCTAATGTGTGGAGTAAAACTGAATGCATACATCTAAAGGACGTGATCAAATTTGCAACAGCATCATAAGTATACAGTATCACTCAAAATT